ACCCTAAAGGGTAGATTAAATTTCATATGGTACCCACCAACATAATAGGAAGCACAAATGGTTGGTTTATTATGACAATACTTACTACCATTAATTGGGTATTGGTCGGGCATATGACATCTTGATATTCGAGAAGAGAAAATCCATGATCTAAAAATAAGTGTGGAGAGATTGGCTAGGTCACCCCTCATAGTTAGTGAGCTTGTATTAGTCCAATCATATGAACTAGTCCTAATTATATGTAGGGCCCATGGACTTAGTTAAAGATAACAAGAGATATAAGGGAGGTTGTGAAGATCATGCATTGATATATTATGTTTGGACATGATTAATTGATTGATGATTGCCCACTTTGCATGCTCATTTACTTTTTGAACTTACATAGGATTGAGTTGATTTATTTAGTTTGTTGAGACATTGTTCGCACCCCTTGTGGTTAATATTTTACCAGTAAAGCCTTTGTTACAGACCAAAAGGAAGGACTAAAGGGCAAAGACTAAGCTTATCTCATTATTTGTAATGCCCAAATTATTTTTATGTGCAATTGAATATACGGTTGCCAACAGTTGCCAACTAGGATCATTATTCTACTCACTTGCACTATTTAGGAATTTATTGTGTTTTGGTGTATTTTGGCCCTAGATGATGTGGATTCCATTTAAATATTTTGTTGAGCTAAAATACAAGTGCAAGTGTTAATTGTATGGTTTAAATTTGCTAATGTTGGCTATGGATGCTTGAAATTTTAAATGATTATTTGCCCCTTTATGACAATGTTATGGGACTTGAGTAGTCAAAATGAGTTACATGAAGTCTTGTGAGCATAAATTGTGTTGTACGGATATAAGTCATTTCATTAAGTATAGTTCAAGCCTTGTTGTGCACTAATGGCATAAGGTTGAGAGCTTAGATACCTTAGATGTAAATTTTGTGTAAAAAGAGGTTGTTTTGATTATGGTTATCCAACTTTGTGATTAGGTTGTAATTTGGAATGAAACCTAATTAGCTAGACAACTAATTATGCTTCATATAAGAGCTTAAATCACATCAATCGAACGTCGAATAGAGAAATGAAACACACTGAAAATTTGCCTCGCTGTCATGACATCTTGCTATCATGATTCCATATAATGCATGCCCCATTGGTCACAATGCATAGCATAGATGAGGAGTTCCCTCTTCGTGACATCTATCACAGTGCCTTGTGCATTCGTTGTAGAAAAAGATGCAACTAATATTTTCATTGAACTGATTTTTGTTCTATGTTTGGGCTTTTTATGAGATCAATTCTAAATGTTTTCCATGCTTCCTAAATGCTTTGCACTCTATTTAAAAAAGGTTTCTTATTATCATTAATTAAACATTTAATTTATTTAATATAGGAGCTCAATTTCAAATGAATATATATATTTGCTCGATAACTTCTTCAAGATTTGTGGCCTATGAGAGAGTGGTGAAGAGAAATTTTGATAGTTCTAAGTTATTGGACAAATAGACATAATGTTAGCTATGAGATTCAGCATAAAAAATTTCATTGAATATTTCATTTTAATTGTTATTTATATTTGGTTGATGGAGTAAATAGAAACTGTTATACAGTTTTGTGCTGTAGTATAAAAAATTGATTTTGTTAGTTGGTTATTATGCATATAGACTTTGAATTATAGTTATAGATCAAGTTTTGACAATAAGAAAATACAAATCAAATATTTTTAGGTTCAATGTACTTTTGCTTTTGAACTCATTACTTAGGGTCTCAGGATATTCCAAACTTAAAGTTAGGTCATTTTTGTCCCTAAATGTTTGAAACCAAGGCTCCCATACTCTTGTCGTCCAAGCGCCACATGAGATGCTTAGTCAGCATTTAATAAGGTTACTTTTGCCTACAAACTAGTAACTCAAGGTCACTTTTGTCTTGAACTTAATTTTTTACTTGTAAAAAATAATTTTTTTCATTATAATTTTACATATTCTTTTTCTAAAAACAAATTAGAATACTCAAAAATTAAAAATAAGTAATATGAGTTCATATTTTAAAGAACAAACACATATTGTAAAGTCTAAATTTAATTTAAAAATAAAAATATGTTTAGGAATAAAACAAAAAATAATCTAAATAGATGCCTTGAGCCTTGGACCATTTTTAGAAGGCTTAAATTGGCTAGGCTTAGAAGCCTAATTATTTCAAAAATACCTAATTTTTCAAACCCGAATCTTTATAAAATCTAGATTTAAGTAGGTGGCCCATTTTTGGGATAATCGGACTTTTAAGTATGGATTTTTATGGATTTTATATGGGTGTTGAGGCTTGAAAAATTAAGAATTTTTTGAATAATCAAGCTTTAAAACATAACCCATTTATGCCCTAAAAATTAAATTTAGATTTTAAAATATATGTTTGTACTTTAAAAATTAAATTTATATTATTTATTTTTAATTTTTGAACATAATTTTTTTAAATATGTAATATTATAATGTAAAAATTAATTTTTAAAAATAAAAAACCAAGTTTAAAACAAAAGTGACATTATTAAATACTGACTAAGCACCTCACACGGCAAAAATGTCAGCAAAATAGTTGACTAATGGTGTGTGGATGGCAGGGGCACGAGATATTAGGGTTTTAAATATTTGGAGACAAAAATAATCCAACTTCAAGTTTGAGGCTTTTGCAAACATTGAGTGACAAGATCGAAGATAAAAATAAGCCTTAACCTAAAAATATTTGATTTGTATTTTCATATTGTCAAAACTTGGAGCTGTAACTCGAAGTCCGTATGCATAATAACTAACTAATAGAATCAATGTTTATACCACAACACAAAACTATAAAGCAGTATCTATTTGCAGTTTGCACCATCAACTAAGTATAACTATGAAATGAGAGTCAATAGCGGTAGACATCACAAGGCAGTCCAATCGCGGATTTAGTCCACCAGTGAACAGTCACGCTATGTGTCGCAGCCTCGCAGGGGTAAAATATAGTTCAAACAAAAAGGATTTGTATATCGCTATAACACTAAAAGATAAGAGGGGGAAAAATGCCGGGAGAAGAAAAGTGAGGAGAAGTTATTTTTTGAAAAAATAATAATTAAGGACCTTCTAAAAATATTAATCTTAATTAAGGATCATAATATTTTGAAATCTCAATTAAGAACTGTTGGAATAAAAAAAATGTAATTTGTGATGTGGGATTCACTAACGTTACTTAAAAATTCACTAATCTAACTTGAGAAAATTGCTAACATATAATGTAAAAACATAAAACCCCACTTGATAATTTACTGACCTGACTTGAAAATTTGTTTAATGTATATTGTGAAAATATAAAATTCTACTTGAGAATCAATTGTTTAACAAAAAACGTCATTTGAAAATTTACTAACCAGACTTGAAAAAATTTCTAACGTATATTGTAAAAAATGAAACCCCACTTGAAAATTGATTGTTTAACAAAAAGTGACTTGTCCAAATTGAGGTTTTCTGTTAAACAATCAATTTCCAAGTGGAGTTTTATATTTTCACAATATATATAAAAAAATTTTCAAGTCAGGTTAGTAAATTATCAAGTGATGTTTTTTGTTAAATAATTGATTCTCAAGTGAGGTTTCATATTTTCACAATATACGTTAACAATTTTTTCAAGTTGAGTTAGTAAATTTCTAAATGCCGTTAGTAAATCTAACCTTACAAACTATATTTTTTTATCCCAATTAAAAATTATAGTCCTTGATTAGGATTTTAAAATATTATAATCTTTAATTAAAATTAATATTCTTAAAAGATCTTTAATTGTCATTCTCTTTCATTTTTTTTTTCCCATTATGTTTGCAGTGCCCATATGTGGGCTAATTCGTAATTTTTATTTTTCTGCTCGATATATGGGCTATACGAGTTGATTCCCTCCCTTAGTGAGGGCATCATTATGTTTTGAAAGCGTCGGTTGTATATGAAAATTCATTTGGTAATTCCTTTTCCATCTTGATTTTTTGAGTGTTCACTATGGTTGTTTAGCAGTTGTTATTCTTTTTTATTTTAAAATAAAAATACACATATCAGTAGTTTTTATCTACAAAAATACAAACATTATTTTCTTTTAGTTTCTTTTATATATATATATATGTGTGTGTATGAAATATCATATTAGACGCACTGTTTATAAATGAGTTAAAAGGAAAATTAATTTGCTCTAAAAGTTTTCCGTACACCAAGTATCCTCAACTTTTTATTGATGCAATATTATCTTGAAAGTTTCAAAAATAATGTACTATTTCCCCATAGTAACATTTAGCAAATGTTGATGTTAGTTAAACAATTCTAAGAGTTAAAGAATAATTTTGTCTTAAAAAATTTAATTAAATGAGCAATAACTGTCCTAATAAACTTTCTTTTTTTTTTTGAGCAAAAAGTGTCCTAATAAACTTTCAATCGGAGCAATTTAGCCCCTTATAGTGGATGAATCATAAGGGATGCCTCAATGAAATTTCCATGAAGCAGCAAGCTAGCAAGTAAAATTCTTTGCTGACAATTAAAATACACAATTAGATATTGTAAGTGATAGAATAACCTTATCGCCAAAATCCACAAATATTCAATTCAACTCGCTTCCATTTCTGCTCACCTTGGGCTAGTCATGAGACATGCATGTATTTTAAAGACATTAGCACAACAATTTAATTAACTACCTTCAAATGTAATGTCAAATGGCATTCCTATAACACATGAAACATAAGAATGATGAGATTTAAAACCTCCTCTCAAAGAAAATTATTGCAATAAAAACTCATAAATTTAATATTAAATTATCTTTTTAAAAATACATATATATTTTGTTAATTGAACTTTCACTTATAATGTCAATTCTTCCTTAAATATGAGCTTAAATTTATTAACGCATTTTCTTTATCGAGAAGAGAGCTTAAAATAGAGGCAGAAAGTGTTGGATTTAATGGAGAACAAGTCAAATGAATATTAGGGTCGTTAATATTAGCAAAATTAAATCATACTCAAATTCCAGTCGTTTCTAAAATTAGCATTTAATAAAATAATTAAAATTGAAAATTAAATTATTCATATTATTACGTATATTTTCACAAAGTCATTGAATACACATGTGAATCACAGTTAGATTGAAACATCCTCATCACCCCCTAACTTGGCTTCAACCAAGCAAAAGAGAAAAATTTTAAACGTCAAGGAGCTCTTAATCCTCATTCCTTCTAGTTTTGTTTCCCTTTGATAGAAATTAAAATAATCTTTCAACGCCAAATTTAATTTTGAGCTCATCTATACACCTTTATTTTCAATCTGTTATACAAGATATCATACAGCCCCCAAAAAAATAACATACATACATATATCTATATATATATATATATAATTAAACATGTCAACACTGGTCAAATTTGAACACTTAATTTTTCCCTTCTTTTTCTTTTCATTTCTTGTCAATCCCAAAAAGAGAAACTAGAATATATGTGGACTCTCTAACTCATGTGAGAGCCATACAAATGAGTGATTGTTTCTCTCTCTTCAAAGTTGACAAGAAATGAGGAGAAAAAAAGAAAGAATAAATCCAAATCCATATAGGTCTCTCATTGAATGGTGTTAGAACATGCTTAAATATACATCTCTTTATCATCTTTTTTTTTTTTTGGGACAGAGTTTAGTGAAGAATTTTAGGGAAACATATGTTGATGTTGAGAGAAATTAAAATTGGATTGAAGTTGGATATCATCCTTATTATGGTCATCATCATCATCATCACCTTCTTGGTGGTGGTGGTGGTGTGGAAGCCAGTCTCTTTCCAAAATGATTTGTTTAGCCATGACGGCTGCTCGGTTCTCGGCTATGAGTTCTCGGAGCGCGGCGCTGCATCTCGCCGAGAGATCAGCCGGAGAAAGCCATGAATGGTCACTCTTAGACGATGACAGAAGAGAGAGAGCACACCCTGATGACGAAAGTGGGGGTGATGACAAGTATGGAAACGCTCCAACCAGTAACTTATTTTCTGTCAATGTTTAACCAAAAAGATAATAATAATAATAATTCATCTACTCAGTTATTTCTAGTCAAGTGATTATCATTCATATACATACATATATATACACAAACAGAACAAAACACAAAAGTAAAATTGTAATGCATATTGACATATCTTTATACAGATATATATTTGATTTGATCCCACGCTAGATTCAAATTAAGGACAACCACACTTTCTAAGATTCTTGCATGCTTGTTTGACAAGTTCATGTCTTACATTAAGGGTGAGAATTAGGACTATGAAAATATCATGTGATTAGTGAAGTTAATGATCAAAGGGTGATTTGATTTAAGGCTAAAAATATACTTTTAATCCTTTGATATTACATTACGTTTTATTTTAATCATTTAATGTTATAAAATATATTTTTTAAATTCTTTAACCCTTATACCATTAGTTTCATAACAAAATTTTTACACTGAACTTTTAAACATTAACAAAACATTCTTAAATATAGAACAATAATTAAAACAAAAAATAATCATTTGAAATTAACAATATTAGAGTCAGGGAGCTGAAAAAATACTTTATAAAATTAAAAGACTAAATTAAAACTTTGTATGAAATTATATAACTCCAAGTATACACTTTAACCTTTGATTATAAATCTGTTGCGACTTTATGGATCATTTTGAGCTGCCTCTAAAGCACTATTAGCTACTTCTAGAGCAAAAATACATGAGATATAATGTTCGTCTATGACCCACACACCACAAGCAAACCAATTTCACAAACACGATGATTGATTGTAAATTTCTTAAAATGATTGACATGAAATAAATATTATTATTATGATATAACTTTTGATATGGAATATTTTTATATCGAAATATCTTATGACAAATAGATATATATATATATATATTGGCCAAAAAAATAGATACATATATATATATATATATATAAAACACAACTTGCGAATCTTTCATGTCCTAAAGGATTAGATCGAATGGAACGGGACAACTAAATGCTTCATAGAAGCGTGATAGATCAAAAGTGAGCGTTGAACTCAGCACCAGCCATCAATAAGTGGGAATTAATAATAATCTAGTATTTTCTTTTATATTAAGCTCTTCCAATTATTATCAACCACCAACCATCAATGATTTTACATATTCTTTGATATTATCAAGAATATTCAATATTTATCTTCGGACTGTTCATTACGAAATGATTTTCCACCCAAAAAACCAGCATCCAAAAGGTACGCAAATTCAAAAGGTTTAATTCAAAGAGCAACAAGCTAGGCACATGTTTCAGAGAAAGTCATATTATTTATAATTTATCTTGTTATAAATTTTATATTTATGTTTCACTAGTAATTACTACAAAAATTAAGAAAAATGAAAATTTCGATTTATTAATTTACTGGGAATGGATTAATTGGATTACCTTGAGAGGAGGGATTCCTAGAAACAGAATCGTGGAAGCTCTTTCTTCTTCGTTCATTGTGGCCAGCCAATCTCCTACGGCAACTCCTTTTGGAATCATCGAACTCCGTTATCACATGAAACCTGTCCCCAACAATATTATCTCGAATTTTCATAAAATAATTACTACAAATATATTATCGAACGACGAGAATTATTAATTAATTACTAATATTCATAATTATCAATTTACATAAAATCACCTGCTACACTGTTGACAAAATCTCTGCTCCAACCCTAACACGACAACCTTGGGTGCCTTGGAATGCATCTCACAAACTTTGTGCCTCCGGTGGTATTCCTTCGCATTCAACAGCGCCACGTGGCATCCCTCCACCTGACACCTCGGCACCGTCGCCGCCGTCCCCATCTTCACACCGCCTCCTCCATAGAACCCCCTCCCTCTCTTTCCCGCCAAATTAAAGCCCTCGCCGCCGCTGCCTCCTCCTCCGCCGCCGCCAAGAGGAGCATTAGCGTCCTCAAAATAATGCCTCTTCCCTAGCTTCAAGCACATGAGATGTGGGTCCAGATGCAAGCGCGACCCATCGCCGGAATACAGCGCCGCCTCCTGTTGCTGCCGCCGCTGATGACCACCGTGGTTAACACCGCCGCCATCGTGGTCACGATCAGCCGCGGTGCTACTACTACTAGCCTGAGGAAGAAACATCAGTGCGTTTGCTAGGCTGGCCTCCTCATGGCGAGTGGGGGCGGCAGCCGCCGAGGTCTGAGCCGTATCGGCGGCGTAGAAAGTGTTGATGAGGGTAGAATTGTTAGAAGAAGGCGGTTCCCATAAATCCCAAGAAAAGTTGGTACTGTTATTACTATTTCCACCACCGTTTTGCTCTCTGTTAGCGTTGCTCAAGCAGAACATGTTCCCTTCAAAGTCCATCTCTCTCTCTCTCTCTCTCTCTGAGGTATCAAAAATGGTAGCAGGTAGCTTACTATTCCAGCGATGGAGGTTGGATGGGGAAAAGAGCGAAGGAGAGAGAAAAGAGGATGCTTTTTGTTTGTGTAAAAAAGGAAAGAGAGAGAGAAAGAGAGAGGATGAAAAATGCAGAAGAAAGTGCAGGTTTCCTGTTTGTACTAGTTCAATGGGGGAAGAAGGGGGTGTTATTAAATTAAATAGCAGATGTAAAGCTGCGAGCCTGCACACTCAGAGAGAGAGAGAGAGAGAGAGAGAGAGAGAGGAGAGAGAACAGTGGCACGTGAGAATGTGTGGTTCGTCCAAAAACCCGCACGTGGGAGGAAAACTATTATTTTAATTGGATTCTTTTTGCAAAGGATTGAGAGAGAAAGTGAGAAACAAAAGTGTGATTAGATAGGAGAGGAGAGAGAGCAGAAATGTGTCAGAAAAGCACGTCATTTTTAAATTGCAGCATTTTAATTCATTTTATACGCCCCCTCCCGTCCGTTTCATCTTATATTCTTGTGCTTCTAACTACCTCGTCAAAGTAAAATTGGATTGGTTAAAAGCGAGAATAAATATAAAAGTGATCCATTAATTTAAATTAAATTTAAATATTAAATTTTAAAAATTATAATTTAACTTTTAATTTTATAATCTTATTATCATAAATTTATATTTTATGTTTTTATTTTTTAAAAAAATAAATTTATTTTTTTATTATGTTAAAATTAAAAAAAATTATAAATTCAACACAATAAAATTGTAAAATTTAAAAATAAACTTACAAATTTATAAAATTTAATATTTAAAATTTAATTTAAATTAATTGATTTTTTCATGACCTATTTGTTATTCTCCCTAAATATAATAATAAAATTATTTTTAATTTTATTTTTATATTTAAAAAAGTAATTAATTTGTGAAAAGAGCTTTTAACAATAAAATTGTTTTTTTTAATTTTTTAAAAGGTGCTTTTGAAATTATATATAATAAAATACAAAACTGAGGTAAGAGTGACTTACATAAAGAACTAATAAAACCTTTTTTAATAAAAAAAAAAGTAACTTTTGTAGATATAGCCTATATTATATTATCAAATTAAATAAATAATTTAAAATTTATTATATTTTATATTAGGATTGATTTATTATATTTATCAATAATGTACCGTTATATATTAATGGAAAACATTTTGTAACTTTTCAAATTTCAATAATAAACTCATTATATATTAATGATAAATTTTTTATACATTAGTATGAATTGGCTACATTCTTAAATTTTTAAAAATTTTGTTTATATTTTTTGGGTGGAAGATTTGTATTGCTAGCAAGCCAATTTATTTTAAAAAGAATTGTAAGGAGTACAAATTTATAATTTATGCATGAAAATTATAACTTGCTTCTATGCTTTAAATATGTTTTGATATTTGTCCTTATACTTTTATTTCATTGTTTCAAATTCCTTAAGTTTTATTTTTTGCAATATTGATCTTTATATTTTTAAATATAATCATGATGTCTTAACATTTAATCAATGACTAACATATACATAAATTCTATTATTTCTTATAATAACTTAAGCGGTGTAAAAAATGAGTAGAAGAGGAAAAGATATGCAAGATATTCAATCAAAATCCTTAATAAAAGTAAAAAGACTAACTGTTGTATTTTCGCTAACTAATTTACTATTTAATCAGGTATGACTAAAACAATCACACTTGACATGTATGAAAAGTAGTGTACAATTTTCAAACTTCAGTATGAGACACTTGTTTAGATATTGATGGAATGAAACACAGAATACCTTTTTATTGTTAAATAATTATTATTTTTTTAAAATATAATTTTTTCATCTTTATATTTTATTCATATTTTATTATAAATTTTTATTTTTTAATATTTTAAATTTTTAAATTTTTATTTTTTAATATTTTAAATCCCTCTAAATTTTTTACATTTTATTCATAGAGAGATTTAAAATAATAGAAATAAAAATTCAAAAATTTAAAATACTGAAAAAATATAAAAAATAATAATAAAATGCAAGTAAAATACAAATACTAAAAATTATGTTTTTCATTATTTTTCTTGAAACATAAGAGAATTGAAATAACGAAATATAAATATAAATATTAATATCAAAACATATGAAAAATATAAAGACCAACCCTTGTACTTTCTACTGACTAATTTAGTATTCAATCATGTATGACGATATAATTACATATCACTACATACGACATACATGAAAAGCTTGTTAGCAGCGAGGACATTTTGTTGTTTAAAATGCAACTTTCAAACTTCAATACAAAACACTTGTTTAGATGTTGATGGACCGAAACAAAAGACACTTTTTTATTGTTTTATTATTTTTTCTTGAAATGTTAAGAATTAATTAAGAATAAATATGAAAAAAGAACTTTTTCTACAAAATTAACTAATTAAGCTAATTATCACTTTTTTTATTGATTGGTCTAAAATAGATATTAATGCCTCATATTTAAAATTAGAGGTAATATAATATGTACTCCCTTCGCTAAATATAATGTGTTTTCAATTACCCTATTCTTGTTAAGAAAAGTCTATTACTTATATAAATTTATAAAACAAAACAACTCAATATTCTACTTTTTTATCCTTAATAAGTTTTTTTTTTTTTTGGTGACCAAGATTTATCCTCATTAACTAAGAAATGTTAAGATGATAGGAGTTGATGATAGAACCTCAACTCCTTTTTCCTAAAACCATTTATTCGCTTGCCAGAAGTTGAGGGGTTAAAAATGGGAAATCGTTAGACAATACTGATACATTAGACTTTATACTGTAGACTAAAAATGTATTTTAAAAAATACATTATAATTATAACAAGAGAGAGTGTATCTATCGTAACAATCGTATTGTTGTTCAATTATAAGCAGTGCAATTTATAATTTGGACTTTATCTAACTTTAAAAACTCACACCAATTATAATTTACATTCTTATAAATAAATTAAAAATTGTAAGTTTCTTGGTCTTTTTTTTTTTAATCCTTGATTGTAATTTTTGAGGTTTTTTTATAATTTTTTAATTAACTAATGGTTAAAATTAATTTTTGTTGATGGTAAGCGCAACAGTACACCATTTTCAAAAATTAAAGGAAAATATTATACTAAACATGAATTTAGAATTCAAACACTTCTAAACCTATATTTTAAAAAGTGAAATAGCCGTTTAATCCCATATAATGACAAAAACTATAATATTTGTAATGCCTATGTTGTGTATGTGAGAAATAACAACTTTGTTTGGGCTATTGATTAAAACAACATAAAGAAGGGTAAATGTGTATTTTTACTCCTAAAATATTTTTTGATGAGCACCAGCCTCCTAAACTATTGGTTGGAGTAATTTTTACCCTTAAAATAGTTAAAATGGAGCATTTTTTCCTTTATGTTAAATTTTTTAACAGTCAATGTTAAAGTCTTAGTTAATATTTTTGATGGTCAACATTGAGAATTTGATGTCAAGGGCAAGGGCAACAATGCTCCATTTTAATTACATTAAGGGCAAAATTATTCCAACAAATAGATTAGTGTGCTCAATGCTTCCCAAAAAATACTTCAAGAGCTCAAATGAAAATTTACCCAATAAAGAATGACAAATTTCTTCGTATCATCTTTACTCATCAGTCAAATGCAACTACTTAAAATTAGTTACTTAGTTATGTTATGATATCTTCACTGCCAAGTCCAACTCATGACTTGATAGGTGATAGCAAAATGCTCTCACCAGCAAATGAAGAATTGAATTGGCAAATCAATTACTAGTTACCATTAAGAAATGATTATTTTGTTTGAGAAAATGGCTATAGTTGAATAGCAAATGACAAGTGTCTCTCTTGAAATTTTTTTTATCAATCAAGTCCAATTAAAAAAATTGTTGAATACTTCGTTTGAGTTATTGACTAGAACAAAATGAAAATGAAAATGAAAAAAGTTTCTTTCTACCATTCTTTTTTAAAAATCAAGTGCAACTACAAAAAATTAGTTATTAGTTATGATTGAGGAATGACTACTTTACTTGAGATAATGACTTTAATTGAATAGCAAATAACTAGTATCTCTCTCCAAAGAATTTTATTAGTCAATTCCAACTAAAAATATCAATTATAATACTTCATTTAGACTATTGATTAAAATGGAATAGAAAATGATAAGTTCCTTTTTGCCATTTTTACTTATCAGTTAAGTACAACAACAACAACAAGCCTGATTTCACTAGGTGGGGTCTGCTACATGGATTGCACAACATCATTATGCTCTATTATCAACCAAATTTTTAGAAATATTGTTAATTAAGAGGTTCCATTCAACAACTTCAATAAGTATTTTCTTTGATCTTCCTTTACCCTTATTTACAAGGCGCAAGATTATCCATTCCATTCTCCTTATAGGTGCCTCCCATGAATTTCTTTGTATATGTCCAAATCATATTAAATAATTTTCTATCACTTTCCCCTTAATAGATGTTATACCCACTTTTTTCTCGTATGTGCTTATTTTAAATTTTATCTTTTTTTGTATGTCCACATATCTATCTTAACATTCTCATCTCTATTACTCCAACTTTAATTTTGACAACACTTTCTTTTAAGTTTATTATATACCTTTTGATCACAAATAATTCCTTAAGCCTTTCTCTAATTAAACCACCTAGTTTGTATCCTATATGTAATATTCCCATCAATTTTTTCATCATGTTGAATAATAGCTCCCAAAAATTTAAACTTTTTCAATTAAGGTATACTCTGATCTCCCAATCTTACTTCCAAGTTACTACTGATTGATCTCTTATCAAAATTACAATGCAAATATTTTGTTTTACTCTTACTTAGGCAAAAATCCTTTGACTAAAAGGTCATTTTCCATAACTCAAGTTTATAGTTAATCTATTTTCTTGTCTCCGAAATAAAAACTATATCATCTACAAAAAAGCATGCATTTAAGAATTTTCTATTGAATATGCTTAGTCAAAACATCTAGAATGAGGTCAAACAAATAGCAACTTAAAGATGATCCCTAATGTATTTCAATCCTTATATGAAAGTCTTTTGTTTCTCCTACCAAATGTTCTTATATAGGCTGTTGTGCCTTCATATGTAATGACCTTTGTCACTAATTTCAATTAAGTCAATTAACTAACAACC